AGTCCTCACTTTCATACGCTCACGTATCTTCTCATGGACTCCCAGCCGACGCTTCCAGTACGCCATTGAAAAGTCTGTCCTTATCCTCAGCGACCTGAACCTAGTCACCGGCACCGCGATTCTCGTCGCCGGCTACTCGCAACTAAAATGTGGCATCTCAGCGTATCACTGGCAGATGATGGTCTTCATCTCGTGGTTTGCCAGTTTCGCTTTCGTCTCCGCCACGGCATTTCTCGAAGGATGTTCCCAGACTAACAAAAGCATGCGCCTTATCAGACTGGTCTTTATGGTTCTCCTCGCTTCCTTGCTGATTGCTGCCTTGCTTCCGACAGGGTCGAGGATGTGGCTTAATGGGTATCCTGATGATGGAGAAGGGTTCTACCCTAGTCTGAGCACTGTTTGCTTCTACAAAGAGCTTGGTATGCGGTCGTTCTTGCGACGAGGTCCCAAGATCTGGTCTATGATCTTCTCGGTGGTTATCGTTGGTGTGTCTTTTGTTCGGTGTGGTATACAACTACTTGACCGAGATGGAGATGTGTCCCGCACATGCCTTCGGACGTTACCTGGAACGAAGTTCAAGCAGTTCCTCAGCTTCCTGGAGAGCAAGACATTACCTCGTACGATCCAGGCCTACATCTGGCACCTGCCATACTTACTCTCATACGCCAGCTTCATCATCGCCCGAGCCATCTACGACGTCTCCGAGTCCATGCTACTAGAGATTCTCTGGTTGACATTTGCAATGGCTTGGGGAACCATCAAAGTCTGGGATACACGCGCCGCAGCCTCATGGAACTATGACGGCTACAACTTTACTCTTAACCAGAAGATTTCCGAGGAGAACTCCTGGGGTTTCGGCCAAACTTTACCGTTGATTCTGCTTTTACTGCCACTTCTCTCTATGGCACAGGCGTACCTTGACGACGACGCAAAGGCGCAAGAAGTGTTGCGAGTGGACGGGGACACATTGTCTCCGCCTGGAACGGCGGCGACCCAAGAGATGGAGGATCCGAGCGCTGTAGACCCAGACCCGTTCGTGCCTCAGAACTGTAATCGGCTTGTCAACCTTCCAACATACCCCTACGAGAGCTTCGCCTCACACGACTGGTATCACGATCACCTGGTCCTCCTGGTCTCACAGATCATCATGGTCAGCACCGTCGCACTTTTCTTTCTCACGCGCTTAGCAGACATCCTCGGCATCTCCTCCATTCTACGCAGTAGGCTCTTCGTCATCTGGATCTTAGCGATCTTACCGCTGGCGTCGTTCATTCACCTGGCAGCATGGTATCTTGCAGCTTTAGTGGTCGGTAAGTGGCCCGGTGTAGGGAGACGGTTGTCCACAGAGAACGAAGAGAGGAGAGACCAGACCAGGAGAGGGCATGTGGTGTACTGGATATGGCGAGCGGGACTCATAGCAGGGTGCTTACTGTTCACGTTTTTTGTTAGTTTGGAATCGGCTGGACCAAATTCGTTGTTCTCGTATCTGAGATGAACTCAGGTAACGTTGTATCTAATTTATTTACGAATGTCGATAGCTCTATCGTACGACTCACTCATCCTTGATGATTCAGTCCAGGACCTGATAATGTGCATCCACCGGATTCTTCCCATTGATCGTAAGAACATCCTGAGGACACGCACTCATCACCACAACCACATCCCTAAGCGCCTCCAGAATGACATAGTCTCCAGCTTTCGTTTTCGGCTCTTCGAAACTAATGCCTCTTTTCGCACCCTCACCTTCCTTCGTGATAGGAATGTTCATAAACAAGTTGAACGGATCCGGGACTCTGTATCCCATCCTCGCTTGCAGACCTTCAATGGCTTCCTTCTCCTCAGCCGAGACAGGGGAAGATGTGCTCAGCGCATGCAAAGCATCCCAGAAGTTGTCTGTGCAAGACTCATGGTATCCATAAACACCCAGCTCACTATACCGCCACCGATCACACGCCGCGACCAAAGTGTCGTGCACGCCTGGACTTGTATCTTCCACCAGCTTGACCATAGGCGCCCTCTTCTGGCTGACCATTACATCACCCACTACCGGCGTTACTTTCAGAAGCGTTGCTCGGCAGTGGCACATGGACATGTATTCGGGGGCGCTGGCAGCGGCATTCGCAGTAGCGGAGTATTTGGACGGCGAGTCTGCGATCGCGTTTGGGTAGAGTGCTGCTTCGACTTTTGAGGACGCGGTTGTGAGGACGGAGGAAGGAAGTGCGAGAGCCCAGGTATCGACGACTTGGTTTCCATGCGTGTTTGTTATCTTTATCTTCTGCCCGGCTTTGACGAGGGTGGCTGCTCCGCGGCGGGCGGGGACGGTTTGGAGGGAGGTCATGGTGGCGAGTTGTGGGATGCTGTAGTCTGTGTTCTATGAGAGTTGATATGTGAGTATGCAATGGACCCAAGCTGCTACTTGGGGGCAGGTGAGGTATGCCATCATTTGTATATGCATACCCCACTTGTGCTGTCGCGTCAGGTCGTGGGACGGGAAGATAGGGAGATAGGAAGACGGCGTCCGAAGCCTATGTCATCCTTCGAGCATAGACTAGCGCAAGAATGGTGAAGTCTTTGTAGTCGCCAACGACAGCTCTGGGTCGTGTCTACAGTGTAGCGATCGAGTTCAGGCGCGCGGAGTGAGCGCGTAGCACCGAGTCGTATCCATGGTTCTGACCTCGGGAGGCGTCTCTCGACCATGAATATAGTCTAGACGAAATTTTCTATAAGAACGTAGGCTTGAGCGCAATATTTGGAGTAGGTAATGTCTGGTGGAAGCGAAAGTAGAAATTGAAGTTGCGACAGCGAGGTACCACCTGCACCTGCAATCGCGCGTATCACGTGTCAAGAACGCGGCTTCCTGGAAACGACACCCTAGCATTCCCGAGCGCCGCAACCCAAATTATCCCCACCACAGCTCGACTCCTTTACCGCCAACCCGCACCATTCCTACCCACTCCCACCATGGCTGCCCTCGCCACCAAGACCGAGTCGCAGAACATCTTTACCAAATTGAAGTCGAAGCCCGCGAACAAGGTACGTCTTGCAAGTAGACAGACACGCGGTCAATGCCTAACACATCCCTAGATATGCTTCGACTGCGGCGCAAAGAACCCAACATGGAGTTCTGTACCATTCGGCATCTACCTGTGCCTCGACTGCTCGTCCAACCATCGTAACATGGGTGTCCACATCTCCTTCGTACGATCCACCAACCTCGACAGTACGTTCACTCCGAGTCTCATGGCTATACAATACACATACTGATTGGGGGTAGTCTGGCAATGGGATCAATTACGAATCATGAAAGTGGGCGGTAACGAAAGCGCTACCAAGTACTTCCAGTCGCACGGAGGCTCCGCTGCGCTCGCGAGTAAAGACCACAAGGCCAAATACACCAGCAATGCCGCCACCAAGTACAAGGAGGAGCTGACCAGGCGCTGCGCTGCGGACGCCAGGATGTAAGAAGAAATTCTCTTTACACGGTAAACTGGGCTAATCCGATTCTACCAGGTACCCCAACGAGGTCGTTATCACAGATGTGCCTGAAGTTGGCACCGACGGCACCAACACGCCAGCCAATGATGAAGACGACTTCTTCTCCTCGTGGGACAAGCCCGCCATCAAGCGCCCTTCGAACCCACCCTCGCGTACCGGTACACCCAAGATTGGAGGATCGCCTTTCCTGAAGCCTGGCGCCAACGGCAATGGAACAGATCGTCCCAAGTCGCCACTCGTTGGTGGTGAATCGAGCACACCCGCTGCAAAGCCCGCAGCCGTACGAAAGACGACCGCAGGCGCCGCACCGAAGAAGAACATTCTGGGAGCCAAGAAGAAGGGTCTCGGAGCGAAGAAAGTGGTTGCCGCAGATGGAGGCCTAGACTTTGAGGAAGCAGAGCGAAAGGCCCGTGAAGAGGCTGAGCGCATCGAGAAGTTGGGCTACGATCCCGAAGCCGAAGCCGCTGAGGCCGCAGCGGCCACCAAGTCGAAAGCCCCCGAAGCATCCGCCATTGTCTCCCCGACTCCCGTATCGCCGCCACGAGGTGGTTTCGGTTCCACTTCCAAGACCGAGCGCTCCAGTCAGGACATGGAGAGGTTAGGCATGGGCGTACAACGTCTGGGCTTCGGACAAGTGGGTGCAGCGAAGAAGGCCGCACCGCAGAAGAAGATGGGTGGCTTCGGCAGTGTAGGCAAGCCTGCGCAGGATGACGGCGAGAAGTACGCGCGAGACAAGTTTGGTACACAAAAGGGCATCTCCAGTGACGAGTTCTTTGGGCGCAACGCATTCGATCCTACTGCCACCGCGCAGGCCAAGGAGAGGTTATCAGGTATGCACCATACGTGAAAGCATGTCCGTTCGATTTACTAATTTGCTATGCAGGCTTCGAAGGCGCAAGCGCTATTTCCTCCAACGCATACTTTGGCCGACCCGAAGACGAAGTCGGCGACGAAGACTACGGCGACCTCGAAACCGCCGCCAAGGACTTTGTCCGCAAGTTCGGTCTTACCGCTGGCGACGATCTCGAGAATCTGACGAACATGCTCGGCGAGGGTGCGACGAAACTGCAAGGCGCTGTCCGGAACTACCTCAACTCGTAGGATGACTTTGTGGATGACATTAGGGCCGACTACGATGGGCGTGCAGCCGTATACTGAACATACTCCTCCGGTGTGTGGAGAGCAGGGCTGGTTACCATGTGCAAAGCTTGTCGTAAACGTCGAACAACAGGTGTGGGCGCTTGGTGCATTGCATGGAGCGGGCAGATGAAAGACCATGGAGCGTGGAGTTGGCAGTACATTTCTATTGCGCTGAAGACGTGGGCTTGGGAATGGGTGTTTGGGAGTATAGACAAACGCAACTAAGAGTCCCTTCAATTCAACCTCGTAATCTCATTCCTGACATTATCTAATGTGTAACTCTGAGCGCCAGGCATATATAACTAAACAATGAACTGGATAGATAGCGCTCCAGATCCAACGCCAACCTCCGCATATCCAATCGATCAATCCTCCCTATCCCCCCAAACATCAGCCTCCTCCCTCGCCACAGCATCCAAATCAATCATCCCCTTCCCCCTGCCACTTCCTCCCTCATCGTCATCTTCCTCTTCACTACTACTCTCCTGTCCCCTTGCCTCTTCCCGACTCATAGACCCCCACCCCGCATCTTCATCCTCGTCGTCTTGAGGGAAAGCAGGCGACACAGGGACGAAGTCGTCCATGAGGTTACTCGGGAGACCAGCGGGAGCCGGACGGGGATGAGAAGATGAGGGTGGGGAGGGGGAGAGGGGCATCATTGCCATTTCAGGTCGATTTGCCGACGGCGGCGTGGTTGAGCGATGGGAATGGCTGTCTGTTGGTTCTGCTGGAGGTGGGTGTGGTGGGACGACCGGTTTCCTCGCTTCTTCCAACGACGCTCGACTTTCTTGCTTTGCCGGTTCCTGTCGTGTAGGAGCGGTCTTTACGGCAGCTGAAGTATCGACCTGCTGTGTAGGCGGCAACTTAGCATGATGTTCCTGCTGCTGTTGCTGCGAGAATGGGAAGATGGAGAAGAGGCTTTGACTCAGACTGTGCCTGTTTGGTGCGCCCGGTCTTTGTTCTTGTCGAAGTGCTTCTTCTCTGCTTCGAGGCTTGTTGGGTGGTGGATGCGATGCGGAGTGTGAGTGCGAAGGAGCCCTTCTGTTGGTCATTGGACTGGATGGTTTCTGAATTGCGGTTTCTGGCAAGGAGGCTTCGCACATTTCACAGGATGTGAGGGCGGGGTCGTTGAGGAAGGTGCAGCGTGGGCATTGCTTTTTGAGATCGGGTGTTGAAGGGCGCTGAGATGGGGAGGGTTCCTGGGGTGGTTGTGCCTGTGGACGAGGAGGTTGGCGGGGAGGTGCTGGGTCGTTCTGGGTAGGCATCTGGTAGCCTGGGCTGTATCTCTGCGCCGTTCTTGAACTTGCTGACGTGTTGTCCCGTTGTCGGCTGGTAGACGATGTGCCTGCACTCGCTCCAGCGCTTGGATTCGGGTCCACTGATATTACGACCTGTACGTCTCTCTTCGTACCGCACTTCATACACTCACACTGCCGTATAACAGTCTTCGCATACGTATCTGTGACCTCGGTCGGTGCATCGAACCGGATCTCGAACTTCCCTGGCTCACCGAAGCCTGGGGTATTCCTGTCGTTCCCTCTCCCTTTGGCATTTGCATAGCCTGCTCCTTTCGCCACGATTGGTATAATGGGATCAACCGCCCCGAAGATGAGATGGTCCACAAACGGCATCAACATTAATTTCCCACTGGTCTTGATGTGATGATCGATTTCCGGGCGGAGCTGGAACGAGTCGATAGACTGCAGGACGCGGAAGTACTTGTTGAACATATCGCCGTACCATTGACGTGCTTGCACACCCTGCTGCAACAAATCCTTCGCAATGTTCCGGGGTGCAGGACTTGGCCATAGTGCGTCGATCAAATGCTTCTCTTTCAGCGCCTTTCTCACCATCAAGTCTAATCTCGCGCATTCATACAGTCTCTTCTCCAGTCTTTCGTGCAACTCGTACTTTGCGAATCGAATAACCAAGCCTCTTACGAATCCGGCATCGAGGTTCCATTTTCTTGTAAAGTAGTCCAGAGATTCCAAATCTTTCTGCGCCTGCGCGTTTGCGGGTCGGACTTGGGTCGGTGAGAGTTCATGGCCCATAGAGATCCATCTTTCAGTCTGCCGTGGAAAGGCGGTTGCTGTGGACCAGAATGAGCGTATAGGGTAGTACTCGGCTTTGAAGTAGTTGTAGACGAAATCTAGGAAGTCGGCTTCTGTGAGTGGCATCGCTGCGTGGCCGCGAGGGATGTCCATGATGGATGGTGGTTGTGGGTGGCGAGACGTGTGAATGTCTCAGGCCTGGAAGGCAATCACAAAATCATTCGTGACAGGAGATGAGGCTTTGGCCGCAGATGTGAAGGTAGTTGAAGCGCTGTCGTGCTCTAGTGGCCTGAACTATGCGGAATGTTGCTGCCTGGATGGTGTGAAAGATTACGCGTACAGGGACAACGTAGGGATTAACAAAAGTGACGATGCCTATTTGGAGCTGTGCCACAGCATGTGATGTGTTAGAAGCGCTTGGAAGTCCGACTGCTCTGCTTGTTCTTGTGACCGGGTTGCTGGACACGCACGTCATTGTGTGGCGGTGGCTGTGCTCGCACCTTCCGCGTCGGACCTGAGCGGCCTCTTTCCTCGACATTCCAGAACTCCACAATTCCACAACAGCACGCTCGTCCCATATCCGCGACACGCCATCGACGCCCATAAAGATGGGGTATAGATACGCACTCAACTAGCGTCGATATTTTCGCTTCTGGGGAAGAACTGGATACTGCGCAGGTGCTTAGTTTCCGGGAAGACGCAGAGATCGGGCTTTCGACGCAACCTGGAAAAGATTACAGAGCATCCCAGCCAGAACATCTACAACGCGACTGCCTTTTCTCGTGGAAATACCTCAACCTTATCCGGGTCATACCATCTGGAAATAGCCCAGCCTTGTCAGGGTCATATTGAGGTATCCCTTATATCTGCGTGGAGTATTACCTCGGCGTGGTAGACAATCCGAAGGAACTGACCTCTTGAGAGACCAAGAAAAAGCCTCAGGAACGGCACATCTAGAATAAAACTCTCCTTACCTTCACGACACTAACCATGTTTGAAGGTGGTAGCATAATCGTTCTAGCCCAAGTCTTGCGCAAGGGTCCGTGGAGGTAAGGGTTGAGCAAGGGATTTCCTATCCAAACACAATCTGGCTGATCGGTGTGCCGCATCTTACTTTCGAAGCTCTCCGATACGTGGAACCCCTCATCATTTATGTTGGAATCGGTGTTTTGACCCTGATAAGAGGCTGTCGACATTGACGCACATGGCTCGCACGGGGTATACAGCGATCTACCTGGAGATCTCGGCAGCCCACGCTGCCTGATGCAAGTGCACCCGCATGCGTGTATCTAGCATACGCCCGATTACTAGACGCCGTTGACTAGTTAGGAGGCTGGCGAATACACTTATACTTGGCTTGGTCCCTCATTGTCGCACAATCACATTAACCGTCCCAATCCCGACCTGATCTTCGGCGGTCCGTATGTACAATGTCTACAATGTCTACCACTACAACGGAGAAGGACGAAAAGCCAGAGCGGCTCGATATGTCTGATGGTTTGCAGATCGCTCAACCTGAGACATATCCCGAGGCCGTCAACCGCTACTCTGCCAACGGCGATACGAAGCTGCCACAAATCAACGATGATGAAGATGGTGGACGCGGTCGTCTGCCGCGGACGAGGTCATCACGCCTGCGGGGCTCTCACGATATTCTGTCGTACCGCACTGCAATGGAAAGCGATCAGGATCAAGCTCCTCACATCCAGGTCCCGCCTGATATGTGGAAGAAGTTCTTTGCTCACCGACGACGTAAATACTGGTTCACAATCGCCATGTCATTTACCATTGTCGCTGCACTCGTCGGTACTAGTATTGGGGGAGGACTCGTGGTGCAAGAGAAAGCCGACAAGTAAGACATGGTTCTAGTTCTCCGTCATTGTCTAATGCTTGAGTAGGAAGGCCGAAGCACTTGCAGCGGAGCAGGCGGCGGCGAGTTCGAGTATGGAGCTGTTTCCAACACCTACATCGGCGAGTCCATCGGATATTTCAGCGGATGCCCCATCGGATACCCCAACGGATACCCCAGCGGCTGCCACAGAAGACACAGGGACGTACTACTCCGCGAGGCCGTTTGGCGCCATTCAGTCAATCAACACAACATGTCCATCTACCCTCCTCATCTCAAGTCGACTGGAAGGCAAGAAGTCCGATATCAGTGGTCGGTATACCTACAACTGTCTCGACAGCACCAACATCCTCGACACCATCCTCATGAGCTTCACAGCATACACCCTGGAGCAATGCGTCGATGCGTGCAGTCAATACAGCGCCATGAACGGAAGCAGTGCCTGCAAAGCCGCCGTGATTAGCTCTGACTTTAGTACAAGGTACGAGACTGAGAATGGCGCGAATTGCTGGCTGAAGAGTGGCAGTGGGGATGCGAGTACGGGGCAGAATGGGTATACAGCGGCGGTGTTGCGGGAAGACTGAGTGTAAAAAGAAGATATCATGTCTATCGTTCACCATTGTAAAGATCATTACCGGCGTTTGTGTTTGTCCAGATGATGGGCGGCTTGGGTTACGTGTTTGCAGAGTTAGCGAGTTTGAAGTGGCCCCGTCACTACCTGTTCTATACCAATACCAGTCGTTATAGTTTTGTGTTTTAACAGCACCTCATCCAAGGAAGCACCCTCTAGCTGACGTTGACGTGAGGTCGCGTACTTTGATGCTTCCAGCCTAATGTAGGCTGCAGACCTGTTTAGAATTTCCTTGTATACGGTGTGAGTGTGGGTGGGCTGCTCGTTCGCTGTAGTTAGCACGAAGCGGATCTACACTTTTGGCAAATCTCATTCGAGTGCTCTTCCATATCAGAACCCATGGGGCGACATGGATGGCGATGGCCAAGATTGAGTCGCTTGACAGTGGTAGAGCAATGATCGTGGTAGGGTAGACTCTCTTCGGTCGTACCTGCATGCCACGTGTAGTCAACCCAGGCAGTGACTTCACATGTCGCGAAGAGCAAAAGAGAAGTGTTGTACTATGCTCTAGAGGCTATCCAAGTACATACCCAGCCTCTGAAGCGTCTCGTGGGTGCGGGCAAAAAGATACACCAACTCATACTCGAACCTGAAAGATGCAAAAAGAACAAAAGAATTGTTTCCGACACCGGGAATCGAACCCGGGCCTTGCCGGCACTGCGCTGTAACAGCGAGCTGACTCTGCGATGAGAGCGGCAAATCCTAGCCACTAGACCATATCGGAAATTGATGGAAGATAGAAGAGATACGGGCAATATATTGAAAAAAACGAAATTTGGCGTGGCGACGATGAAGTTTGACCAAACTCTGCTGAGAGGGTTGGGGATGGTGGGAAAGCAATCTGGCAAGCTCATGGAAGATTCTGACATGTAGATAGTGATGGCGGGGAACTTTTCTGCGGACCCCTGAATACCCCCACTTCGCGAAATCTCTACCACCAACATCCCGGAGGTACTGCGGGTAAACCACAATGCTGTTCGAAGCCGCTGGATTCGCCGTACGAGTGCTTGGAACGATATAATTGATGCAACACATATGGTAAGCCAGTGCGGTAGGGCTTTACTAAGCTACACGGCTCTATGTACATCTCGATCAAGATCTTCGACGTGAGATGTCTGCTAACACCTCGCAATTATGGTGGAATGTTGATGCAGAGCAGGGCAACAAAACGCGGTCTAGTAACTCTATATAGTGATCTCAATGTAGGTGTATTTCCCAAACACCTTATATTCGCTGTAAAACACCTCGCAATATCACACAGCAGTCTTTTGCAAGGAAGCATCCCGGCTGTTGCCTGTGTTAAGACGGCGCACTAATTTGAACGACGTCAACTTCGTCGATGCGACTACTACTACTATATTTCACGACAATGGCGAAATCGATTTGGGCATCTCGATCTATCAAATACGTCTACGAACGTGAATAGCCTAGGATGCTTTCCGGGCGCATAAATGTAGCGTTCTCGTAAAATTTGGGCCAGCGATGGCAAAGCCATCTATACTTTGCCGAAAATCAAAGATTGTTCGAGAGCCTCGCGATGGAGACTTGCTAAACGCACAGCGGTTGCTGAATTCTGATTCTTTGGTTCGAGAGTACTGCTGCAAATTGGCCTTCTTAACATGTCACACTACAGCAGTGGTATCGTGCGGCTCTTCCTACAACGACATCGCGGCCACCGCGTTGAGCAACGAGACTAAACACCCTAAAGCCTACGTTGACTCTAGATTATCTACATTGTATATAACTATATTTGATGTAGGCCCCTGAGTAGCCAGCGTCTTTCTTGAATGAGGTGCACGAGTACTTGTGCAATTGAGCCTTCTTAATATACCAACACCACGGTACAGGTATTGGACAGTCCCTCCCATCTCAATCTCACCATGTCAACACCACTCCACTTCTGATCTGCTCACACAAACCATCCTACTTATCCCAATAACACCCCATCCATCCATCCCCTTACTTACCATTCCTATGCACCCCAATAAAAGTCCTCTCCCCCCTATACATATGAATACTCCTACTAAAATGATCCTCCTCCTCCTCTTCCTCTTTAATCCACACCCCATCCACCAACTTCGCCCTAACCATCTCCTCCCCCTTCCCATCCACCATCTCCCCATCCAGTCCCTCCCCAGGCAAAACTCCCCCATCCCTCGTCCTCCCCTCCGCCATCCTCACCCCCACAGCCTCAACCACCGTATCGAACCCCGCTTCGACATCCTCCTCACCCCACGGCAGACTCTCAACATCAATCTTATTCTCCCGACCAAGCAAACACATGATAATAACCATAGCACCCGCTTTCGACATGACCTGGTTATGCTGTTTACACGCGTCGTCGTTGCAGCACTCATTACATCCCTCCAGACAATGACAACTCGTAAGCCTTTGACAAGCCTGCTCAAGCAGGGTATCGATAAACTCGAATGCCTTGGTACTAATCCCGCTGCCGCTCGCACCGCCTTTTGCGTCGTAGAAAGTTAGTCGTGCGGGACGTTTGCGTGTGGATTCTTTCGCTAAAAACTCTTTTTCGGGGACTTTGCATTCGGTGCGGACGTCGCCGGGCATGCTGATGACGAAGTTGGGCATGAGAGATAGGACGGCGTGTTCGGCGGCGTGGATACCCGCTGCGATGTTCAGTCTCCTCGACCTCAAGATATCGAGAGCGGATTTAGGCACGTCGAGCCACATGCCCTTGCTAAACAGTATGATAGGCGGGTTGTCAACCTGCACAGCATCTAGAATCCGTCTTTTCTTGTCGATTTTAAAGAAGCCATACACGACTTGTTGGATCTTAATAGGCCCGTAGAAAGCTTTCGACCTGGAACCGGGGATACGGCGGATCGCTTCTGTCTCCACGGGATCAATGTCCGTGTAGTCGCGTTGTTGGGTTGTCCAGTCTACTTTTACGTATTCGACTTTTGCGAGCATGCGCTCTTGGCTGAATTCTTTGACGAGGTACGTGTTTCCTTGGTGGAGGAAGATGCCGCCGTCGTAGAGGGTGAAGAAGGCGCGGGATGCTTCGAGTTCTTCGAGAACAGTGTTTTTGCCGTGGGTTACGTCGATTATGGCGAAGTGGTCTTCTTCGGTGTCGCGGATGGCTACGGTGCGAGAGGGTTGCGGGAGGAAGCGCGTGTTGACGTGGTAGAAACCTTCTTTGTCGCAGCGCATGCGCTCGCGGGCGATTTTGGGGAGGAGAGGGCCGAAATAGCTGGTATCTACTTCGACGTTGATGGGCATCTCGTGGGCAGCGCATTGGACGTGACCTTCCAAGACGAGCATGTTTTCTAGATCGACTTGGAGTGCGCAATTGGGTTTTGTGAAGATCTCGTCCGGGTTCGACATGTAGTACTGATCGGTAGGAAAGCAGTCGCCAACTAGAACGGATAGCGAGTCTTTATTCCTCCGTCCAGCACGGCCACTTTGTTGACGCAAGTTGGCAATGGTGTATGGAAAGCCGACTGTAACGACAGCATCCAGGGATCCGATATCGACACCAAGTTCCAGTGCACTAGTAGCCACGATACCGCAGAGTTTACCGTCGAACATCTCTCGCTCGATCTCTCGTCTGTCTTGCGGTGTATATCCGCCTCGATACGACATAACCCGAGCAATGACTTCCGGTCTTTCCAGATTGGTAAGTTCAGTCTTGATAGCAGCAAGCAGCGCTTCACACTGCTTCCGCACACGGCAGAAAGCAATAGCTCTGACACCCCTCAACATTAGTTGGCAGAATAGCTTCGCCGTCTCTGCCATACAATCACCACGTCCAGATGTAGGATCACCAGGGTCCTTAAACGGCGTGTTCCAACACAGGAACTCTTTTCGTCCGGAAGGAGACCCGTCAAAGTCGGTCAACTTGACTTCGTCAACACCAAAGATAGTCTTCATGTGCTCTTCAGGGTTGGCCACTGTAGCCGAGCAGGAGATGAACTTGACATGCCGATTCCCCAGCGCCGCGCATATCCTGCGTAGACGACGCATGATGAATGCCATGTGTGCTCCAAACAGTCCGTTGTAAACGTGCAGTTCATCCACGACCACGAATCGTAGGTTCTGAAGATACGTCCGCCAGGCATCTTCCTGTGGTAGTATGGTAATGTGCAGCATATCCGGGTTGGTGAAGATGATGCGTGCCTCATCCCGGATGTAATTACGATCACTCATCGGCGTATCGCCGTCGAACGTCTCAACCAGTACCTGTTCAAATCCCGGCATAAATCTCAACAGCTCTTTCATGCTCTTCCTCTGATCCTGCGCCAGGGCTTTCGTCGGAAAGATATACATAGCTCTCGTATTAGGCTCTTGTTCCAGTTGATGCAAGACCGGTATTTGGTAGATCAATGATTTACCAGAGCTCGTCGAAGTAGACA